GCCCCAACCCAAACCATCTCCCTCCCACCTCGATCCACTGTCACACCCACCTTCGACGACCCAGATCAAGCAGGCGGTGCTTCCAGACCCGCGACAGCGGTAGTGGGCTCGCGACCCAGATCACAAGGACGTCCCCTTCCTCCTGATCTCATCGTGCTCCTCTCCATCCCGTCCCCTTCCTCCCCGTATTGGAAGCTCGGTTTTGACCCGTCTCATTGTTGTGTGCAGAAGTCCGGGAGGCATGGGGCCGGGGACGTGTACCAGATCTGCCCCGACGGCCTTGGCACCACGATGGACGGCGAGGTCCTCACCGCCTTTGACGTCTGCTGCTTCCCGGTCTGGTGCCCCTGCTACGTGCACGAGCACAAGGAGGGCACCCAGGCCTGCCTCCAGCGCTTCTGCCAGCTCGACCGCAGCGCAAAGGGCTTCATCTCCGAGGACAAGTACCTCTCCGTCCCGGAGTTCTCCACCAACCCGCTCTCCCAGGTTCGTCTCCCCTCCTCCTCCTCCTCTTGCCGCTGAGATGGCGAATTTTGTTCCCAGTGTTTGAAGATCATCATCCTCTGACAGTGTTGCTCATCCCCAGCCGCCGGAGCTCTGCTTTCAGTGCTGTCATTCCGATTCAGAGATGCAGGAAGAACAGCTGACGGTAAGTTTCCGAGAGAATCACAAAATCTTTTGTTCATTTTATTATATACATGCTAGAGCACACCTCACGAGGATCACCTTTGAATCATGCTAAGTTACGAAGTTGGCAATACCTTTGAATCACCTTCGCCCCTCGTTTTGAACATGTGCTGCCTCTTCAGTTTACTGCCTGTTTTTGCTAACCAATGTGCCAATGGAAGCATGCATGGTTTGGCTATATGAAGTTCATCAAATCATAAAAGAGTGAATAGGTGTTGGCTTTAGAGTGCTAGCTCGTATACACTAGCAGGCGAAGCACGTACGTGCAAGCTAACTTCAACAAAGCAGACTAGTAGCTTAATTGATTCTTTGTTAGCTAGCAGTACTCGGACGTGTAGTCTCACGTATACGTATGAGCTTAGCAGAGCTAGCTAAGCTAGCGACCGATCGATCCGACTTCTTGCGGCAGACCGTAGCGACTTCGTAACTTAGCAAACTGAAAAACGATGGAGATTTTGTGGATAGCCACAGGGGTGTGTCGCTCCTGGCTTTCTTTGTATTGCTTTGATCGACTTAGAAATATTACAATTGTTGGGTGCACTTATGATACACTTAGTGTGCCACCTCCAGATGACTAACTGACTGTGTATTTGTACTAGCACGTGCCGATGAAGCAGGAACACACCCAGTGCCCTGGCAGGAACACAGAGTTGCGGAGAGCAGCAGCTCGCAATCGTGGTCAGGGACCGACCGTCCGAGAGTAGACCGTGGAGATGTGGAGTTCAGTCCAGGAAGTTCCTTGTAATATTTTGGATCTCATTTTTGTTATGATGAATTGATATATAATGATGTTTGATCTGCTTCTGCTTGATTCCTTACTTGTTGACATTGCAGCCACGTAGATTTTGCTGGTTGTGGCATTGCTTGAATTTGCGTTATTGGATAGCTGGAGCTGTGTAGGATTTCTTCTAATTTACTATAGGAGACAAAAACCACGCTTCATGAATTCAGGTGCTCTCTCTCATTTTTTTTGTAACAATGTTGCCAAAAAGGCATTTATCTGGTTGTGACAAAATAAAAGAAAGAAGAAACTTGTAGATAAAATCATTGGAGCTTGTATATCCAAATCCTATAATTATATACTCTCTCTGCTCCCAGGGCGCCCCCGAGGTGGTCATGTGGGATCCTCTCGAACAGCTCGTGCTCGCTGTCGACTTCGATGGCAGGGTCACCCGCTCCATCGCCCCCCTCTCCGGAGGGATGTACTACTCGGATTTCATCCCCTACGTCAACTCATACACAGAGATCTACATGTACTACTCGGATTAAACTCTGTTCTGCTGTACAATTACACTCGCAAGCTGTCTTACCGTATTATTGGATCTGTTAATCACTGCCTACATGTTAGATCGGTTTGATTTTGAGATGCAGCGAGAGTTTAATGTTTCTGAATTCTGATGTGAAAGCATGTCTACGTTAGTTGAACTTTGCATGACTGTTCCTGTAGATTGATGGTGATATCAGCATGCATCCTAATTGTCAATCTCGAGTCTGCACTTCTGTATGTTTTTGATATGAAACACTTATGCATGACTAATTGTTAAGTTGATACAATTTCTTTGGTAGACAAGCATGGAAATATGTATGAACTTTCCTGAAAATTGAACTTTTCTTAACAAATCAAGAACTCCCCTCATTATGTGAAACACCTATGCATATGACTAATTCTGCACGGCAATTCTGTTCAATTCTGATTTCTTTGGTAGTCAATTCTGTTCAATTGTCAAACACCTATGCATATGACTCTGAAAGCATGTCTACATCAGTACAACTTTGCATGCATATTTTATTGACTAGATATATACGTGTTGACTGTTCGTCTATTCCTATGTACTGCATATTGTGTAATGGAGTTTGCTTGTATGGTGTTTGTGATCTACATGAATCAGAAATTGACTAGATATATGACTAATTCTGCACGACAATTCTGTTCAATTCTGATTTCTTTGGTAGTCAATTCTGTTCAATTGTGAAACACCTATGCATATGACTGTGAAAGCATGTCTACATCAGTACAACTTTGCATGCGTATTTTATTGACTAGATATATACGTGTTGACTGTTCGTCTATTCCTATGTACTGCATATTGTGTAATGGAGTTTGCTTGTATGGTGTTTGTGAAAATGTTTGTATGAAAATAATTGACATTGGTGACAGCATACATGGCCATTAGAAACGCGGAAGCTTACAGTGGCTACGGTCGCCCACGCTCTGCTTCTCCTGGTCTCTGTGTACCCTGCTTGCATACTGTCTGTTTGTGATTATTCTAGCAAGTATCTGTTCATGAGAAATAAGCTCTCCAGGATTCATCGGACCAACAACTAGTTCTAGCATGTTTATTTCAAGAAATTTCTGATTCATGCTGTTTGATGAACCAGTACCTATGTCGGGAGACTAATAGAACTTGCAAACTTTAGTCACTTATCCTGTTGTTCATGTCCATACAACATTTGTATTGGTTCTATGTTACAGCTGCTGCAAACGGTTTATTAATGTGGGATATGGCTCTATGTCCAGTTCTCTTTATCTTCTAAAGAAATCCCCTCTGCCTTTGGTGTGCAGCAAGTTGATTGTTCTGTATCTGTATTATTGTGTAGATTGGATAAGTGTTCGTCGAACTGCAAGCCGGTTTAAGAGCTAGATTGGCTGGTCCAATTCGACACGGAGCTGAGTGTATGTTGAAACTTTTCATCCATCAAGTGTCGCCTCGCCGCCTCTGGCCGCCCCGACGACGCCCTCGCCTTGCCAACCTCCACTCCTCCATGAGGTACGCATGCATTTGTGTTGCTATTGCTTGCACTTTGTTCCTGATGTATTCCTTTGACTAATGAACCTAGCAGCATCAAAGTCCAGAATATCCACACCAAAATGCATTGGCTTACTGAACTGGTTAGAAATGCAGAATTGTGATATTGTGCTGGGAGCACTCTTGCTACAGTCAACAGTTAGATTTCAGCTTTGCATCTTTTCAGGTTTAATTGTTGGTTTACATTGAAGCTATTAAGCAAGTATCAAATTGAGTGCATAGTGTGCAATTTGTGTTTAGTAATCTAGTAGCTCATAAGCATCAGACCATATGTTTTCTTATAAGCAAACTATATTGATGGTTGAAAGATTTTATATGCTTCTGATGCATGATCCTTCTAATGCTAGGTGATTTGTTTCTTGGAATTTGGAAGAGGAAGACGATGAAGCGTGGTGGTTATCTATCAATATGCCTTGTGTTCTGGTTGTACTTCATAGCTAGTTACATTGTATTCTTTACTGGTCTAGTTGTATGAACACTATGTAAAGATTGTAATAGGCTAATTTTGGCTATCATTTCAAGTATATAGTTCTGTTTCATTTGAAATATTTGTCATTTGTGTACTGTGAAAATGTGAGAAATAGAAAGTTGATGAGTTGGTCCTACTTATTGGTAGAGGCCAAGGCCCAAAACGTGAATAGCATGCAAAAAGGCTGAGGCCCAAAAAAGAAGTCAACTTTTAAAAGGCCGAGGCCCAAAAAGAAATGGACCGTAAAGTTCTGTGTCTTAGAAACCAAAAAGGCCGAATTGCTGGGCTTGGCCCATGTAGCTAGCGTAAATTGACAGGAAAAAATATATAAAAGGCTGAATTAATGGGCTAGGCCCATGTAAAACACTCAATCGGACCGGGCTGATTCTTGTCAGTGACTTTTTCAATTGGTCGTAGTTTTGCCACGTCAGATTCCCATGTCGGATCCGATGTGGCCTGGGCAGACAGCCAGTGGCCAAAACAAAAGGTCATGGATTCAACAACCTTTTGTTTTGGTCGTAAATGTCTACGACCTTCTCACAAAGAAGGTCGTTAATTTCAGTTTACGACCGCCAGCTTTTGACCTTCTGTTTTTGGTCACAAAAAGGTCGCAAATGAAAAATAATGACCTTTCAATGACCAATAGTCAAGGTCACAAGTTGACATATTTCTTGTAGTGACATTTGGCGCGCCTGGCAAACCTACGGCCTCCGCGTCGCGGGCCTCCTTGGCTTCGGCGGCCTCCTTCCCGCTCTCCACGGTGGTGACTTTAGCCCGCCCCTAGGCCATCTTGATGGCTGTGTTGGCCTGAAGCCACCCCGAGACAAGCCCCATGCGCTCACTTGCGGGCACCTGTCGGCGTTCTCAAGATCGGCCTGGACCCGGCCGAGTGTGACGATGGCTTCCTCCAGGGCCTCGGGCCTGACAAGGGGGCCATAGTTCACTAGCACAAGGGACTGGCAAGGAGGCAGCACCGACGCGTCAACCGGCACCACGACCAAGGAAGTGGCGGCATGGACGGCTTGGGGCGCTGAAGGCTCCGAGCCCCTTTGGGAACGACGAGGGCGGACGACTTCATAGCCTGCTAGCCTGCAGGGGCTAGCTCCTCTGAGGCTACATCACCATGCCCACGGGGGCTCGCTCCATCGCGAGGGAGCAAGGGATTGCCTCTTCCGCCCACGTAGGGGCTGTTGCGGCCTCGACATGGGGCGCCGTTTGTCGGATGTTGGGTTCCGGCAGACCCTTAAGGTTCGAATTCTGGGGTGCGCACGAAGACCTCTCCCCTACCGACCTATGTCCGATCGTCTCGTGAGATCTAAACTAAAAACAATGAACAACATGAGGGACACAAGATTTATACTGGTTTGGGCCATCGTTGTGGTGTAATACCCTACAACAGTGTGTGGTGTGGTGGATTGCCTCAGGGGCTGATGATGAACAGTACAAGGGAAGAACAGCCTCGCGAGAGGTGTTCTTGAGCTGGTGAGATGAATTGCTTGGATGAGTTCGGTCACCTCTCTCTCTCTCTAATGAGGTCTCGATGAGTCCGTCCTTCTTCTCTGTGGTGGCTAGCCCTATTTATAGAGGCCCTGGTCCTCTTCCCAAATATTGAGTGGGAAGGGCGCCAACAATGGCCATTTCAAAGGGGAACATCTAGTACAAGTTATCCTAACTAAAGTTGGTCTTCGGCTGCCAAAGGCACTGGTGATGATGCCATCTTGGGCTCAACGGTGACCTCAATCCTGCCGCTCTGCTGGTCTTGGTCTTGTTGCACTGAAATGGCAACCTTTGCCTGATGCCTCGGTACCCCACGCCTGTGCTTGCCCCCTTTGCACCAAAGAGGAAACAAGGACACTGCGTAGGCCGGCGCCTGCCTGGCGCTCGCCTGGTCTCGATCGTCATGGCTTGCGTCATAAGAACCTCACGAGGTACCCTGCCTTGATCTCTCCACCTCCTCCCGAGCCTACCTGGTGAGGCCGTTCCTGATGTAGCCTTGCGCCGTCCGCCCCGCGAGGCTTGGCCCCTCGCGAGGGTCTTGAGTCTTGTGCTGATGAAGATGGCCGTACTAGGCCTCCACTTGAGCCATGCCGCAGGCCACAGGCAGGCAAGTCTGTGGACCCCCGTTCCCAGAACGCCGACAGTAGCCCCCGGGCCCAAGGCGCGCTCGGACTTGGCTTAGTGGAGAAGCGAAGGTGCAAGTGCGGAGCGCCGCGGGCCCCGTCAGCCTGCGGCCTTGGGCGCCGCGTGGCGGTTGATTGGACGTGGGCGTCTCCGCTTCCCCACGCCGCCTCGGCAACCACTCGACTTGACAAGTCCCTGCATACAAAAACGGGTCATGATTACCTGCGATCATGGAGGCTGATGGTTGGCCTCCCCTTGCTATAAAGGCGGGAGAGCACAAGCCTCCGCTGCATATATTCCTCCTCGCTTCCTTCTTTCTCCCCATCCCAGCTACTCGCCATCTCCCATGGCACCACCGAAGAGGTTCTCGGCCGCAGAGAAGGGAAAGGCCCGTCGGGAAGGGCCTGACTCTCCCCGCCCAAGCGCAGCCGGGGTTGTCTCCGCAAGCATCCTGCGCCGCCTGCAGCGGCTCCTCGCGGTCGCGACTGCGCTCTCCCGCATGGCGATGGGCACCAGGTGGGTAAAGGTAGGCGCGTCATGGCTGCGCAGCCCCCCAGGCCGCACTTCAACTCGGTGGAAGTGCTGCCGGAGTTCGTCGTGTGGTCGGCGGACCCAACCAGCACCTGGCTCCAGCTTTCCCGCTTCTTTGCAGGTAAACTCCCGGACGGTGCTCCTGGCGGCCCTGGCTTCAAGAGGACGGTTGCTGCAGTAGGGCCTCCTAGGCTTCGCTGGAGATCTCGCCGGGAATGTGGCCCTGACCCGCGGCTAGCAAACGTTCGCCCGCGTGCGTGGCCTGAGCCGGCGATGCACCCTGCACTTCAAGTTCGATGGAGACGCCACCCTCTATGTGAGGGTGTTTGGAGAAGACGGCC